GTATGTAGCTCTACCTGCTGTAGGTAGCTCTACCTGCTGTAGATAACTGTACCTGCTGTAGGTAGCTCTACCTGCTGTAGGTAGCTCTACCTGCTGTAGATAACTGTACCTGCTGTAGGTAGCTCTACCTGCTGTAGGTAGCTCTACCTGCTGTAGATAACTGTACCTGCTGTATGTAGCTCTACCTGCTGTATGTAGCTCTACCTGCTGTAGATAACTGTACCTGCTGTATGTAGCTCTACCTGCTGTAGGTAGCTCTACCTGCTGTAGGTAGTTCTACCTGCTGTAGATAGCTCTACCTGCTGTAGATAGCTCTACCTGCTGTAGATAACTGTACCTGCTGTAGGTAGCTCTACCTGCTGTAGATAGCTCTACCTGCTGTAGGTAGCTCTACCTGCTGTAGGTAGCTCTACCTGCTGTAGATAACTGTACCTGCTGTATGTAGCTCTACCTGCTGTATGTAGCTCTACCTGCTGTAGGTAGCTCTACCTGCTGTAGGTAGCTCTACCTGCTGTAGATAACTGTACCTGCTGTAGGTAGCTCTACCTGCTGTAGATAGCTCTACTTGCTGTAGGTAGCTCTACCTGCTGTAGGTAGCTCTACCTGCTGTAGATAACTGTACCTGCTGTATGTAGCTCTACCTGCTGTATGTAACTCTACCTGCTGTAGGTAGCTCTACCTGCTGTAGGTAGCTCTACCTGCTGTAGATAACTCTACCTGCTGTAGATAGCTCTACCTGCTGTAGGTAGCTCTACCTGCTGTAGGTAGCTCTACCTTCTGTAGATAACTGTACCTGCTGTAGGTAGCTCTACCTGCTGTAGGTAGCTCTACCTGCTGTAGATAGCTCTACCTGCTGTAGGTAGCTCTACCTTCTGTAGATAACTGTATCTGCTGTATGTAGCTCTACCTGCTGTAGGTAGCTCTACCTGCTGTAGATAACTGTACCTGCTGTAGGTAGCTCTACCTGCTGTAGATACCTCTACCTTCTGTAGATAACTGTACCTGCTGTATGTAGCTCTACCTGCTGTAGATAGCTCTACCTTCTGTAGATAACTGTACCTGCTGTATGTAGCTCTACCTGCTGTAGGTAGCTCTACCTGCTGTAGATAACTGTACCTGCTGTAAGTAGCTCTACCTGCTGTAGATAGCTCTACCTGCTGTAGGTAGCTCTACCTGCTGTAGGTAGCTCTACCAGCTGTAGATAGCTCTACCTGCTGTAGGTAGCTCTACCTGCTGTAGATAACTGTACCTGCTGTAGGTAGCTCTACCTGCTGTAGATAGCTCTACCTGCTGTAGATAGCTCTACCTGCTGTAGGTAGCTCTACCTGCTGTAGGTAGCTCTACCTGCTGTAGATAGCTCGACCTGCTGTAGGTAGCTCGACCTGCTGTAGATAACTGTACCTGCTGTAGGTAGCTCTACCTCCTGTAGATAGCTCTACCTGCTGTAGATAACTGTACCTGCTGTAGGTAGCTCTACCTGCTGTAGATAGCTCTACCTGCTGTAGGTAGCTCTACCTGCTGTAGATAACTCTACCTGCTGTAGGTAGCTCTACCTGCTGTAGATAGCTCTACCTGCTGTAGATAACTGTACCTGCTGTAGGTAGCTCTACCTGCTGTAGATAACTGTACCTGCTGTAGGTAGCTCTACCTGCTGTAGATAACTGTACCTGCTGTAGGTAGCTCTACCTGCTGTAGGTAGCTCTACCTGCTGTAGATAACAGTATCAAAAATGAAGATGATCTATCATTTATTGTGACACAGTATTTGCCTTGCCAAGGTTGTAAATGATGAAGTTATTAGATATGGATATATCTCATTATGCTGGATATGTTCAGGCAAGTTTGTAAAATATCACAAACATTAGTTCAGCCTTTCATTCCTCTAAATCAGCCAACACAACCAGACCACTGACACACCCACACAGCAGCAACCTGGTTAGAATGCCAACTTTTACCATGGTTAGTACCAAAACACTGAATAATATAGTAAAGACCTTGAATGCCTCTACCTGCTGTCTGGACAGCCTGTCTACAAACTTCTTTAAAAATGTTTTTAGTTGCCCGAAAGCTGAGGTACTGGAAATAGTTAACTACTCTTTGACATCAGGTCTTTTCCCCAAACCACTGAAAACTGCTGCTGTGAAACCTTTCTAAAGAAGTGGAAACTAGATCCTCAGTGTTGAACAACTACCGACCGATCTCTAGTCTCCCTTTGGTGGAAACATCATTGAAAAGGCAGTAATGATCCCAATAAACTACTATTTAGAGTCAAATAACATTATGGACAGTCTTCAGTCAGGCTTTAGACAGCACCACAGCACAGAGACTGCACTGATCAAGGTATTAAACGACATTCGTCTCAACACTGATTCAGGTAAAGCGTCTGTCCTGATGATTCTTGACCTCAGTGCAGCTTTTGATACTGTGGACCACAACATCCTTCTGGATAGACTCAAACTGGGTGGGACTATCAGGCACAGTGCTTGGCTGGTTCCAGTCCTATCTCAAAGACAGGGGCTATGTTGTCTCTATTAGGGACTACCAATCAAAGAGGATCACCATGACATGTGGGGTCCCCCATGGCTCAACTATAGGACCACTACTCTTTAATCTCTATTTGCTCCCCTGGTTCAGGTCATACTTAATAACAACATCGACTATCATAGCTATGCTGATGACACTCAGATCTACCTAGCCCAATCACCTAGTGACTGTCGGCCACTGGACTCACTCTGTCAGTGTCTGGAACAAGTAAACGACTGGATGCAGTCAAACGTCCTTCAACTAAACAAAGACGAGACTGAAGTTATTGTCTTTGGCAACAAGAAGGATTTCGATGCTAGACTCCAGGGGAATAAAGACAAAGGCCCAGGTTAGAAATCTTGGTGTTATCATTGACTCCGACCTGAGCTTCTCTGGACACATTAAGGCTGTAACTAAATCAGCGTTTTATCACCTTCATCAAATATCAAGAGTCAGAGGTCTCATGTCCAGACCAGACTTAGAGAAAAGCTTCCCCAGGACCTCAGATCTGCCCCAACCCTAGTGTTGTTGAAAACTAAAACCCTCATGTACTCATCAGCCTTTACATGAATAGTTTCTTCTGCTGCATCGTCTCCTCTGTAAGCTGCGCTGTACCTTTGTCTTCTCCTTTAGCTCTAAACTGTAACTCTATCTGTGTGTTCTTTAATTTGTGTTTTTGTGTGTTTTCACGTCACGTCCTGATCATTGTAAAGCACGTTGAACTGCCTCTGTGTTTGAAACGTGCTCTGTGAGAAGCCAGCTTTATTTATGGAGCACATTTCAAACACAATGGCTATACCTGTAAGAACCCGCAGCTACCTTTGTGTTGTTTAACAGCAGATGGAACGAGGAGTAACTTTGACCATGAATCGAATGAAAGTCAAAAGGAGGAATGAAACTAAATCTTTTACACAATATTTAACAAGAATCTGTCATGGACAGCACTTATTAAATGTGTCAGAGTAAAACAGTCAGGCATTGCTTCATGTTGCTCAGTACCTAATGAGTAGTTTGGGAATGTATTCCTGTTTATTGCACTGATCGCTCTTAATTTACCTTATTGTATAGAAATCTGTGATCATTGTACAAAACTTACACACAAACTTTATTGATTTGACAAAGAGAGCATTGTGAACTATTGACAGTGGTAATAAATATTATCATTATAAAAGTTCTTGCATTTTGAAAGGGGCAAAGGTCCTTAAGGAACCTCGGTTTAGAACTAGAATTAAAGAGTTTGGCGTTAATATTTAAGGAATCACATTGTGGCATAAATTAGACATGAAAGTGAAGCTGCGAGGTCATCGAGGATACTCAAAACAGATAAGTGTACTTTCTGTCTGAATCTTAATCATGAAAGGGGAAATAGAACTAGTGCTGGTTGTGGACTGAACCATAGTTTGATATTTATTTATTTAATGTTGTTTTTTATCTGTTGAAGTTGGTAATGATTCCTTTTTCCAGTGTCCTGTCTGGCTGTGAAGCAAACAGAATTAATGTCTGAATGCTGGAGGCGAGCCTTAAGATGCTCAGTGACTGTGACAGCACTCTGTGAACACTCTGAACATTCAGGCGTGTCCTTTCCGGTTCAGCGTGATCATTGACGACACGCTCGCTGAAAAGATTCAGGACTTGATCTTCTAAGTCAGTGGTTGCCAAACTTTTTTCACATAAAACCCATTTTCTGTGTCCAAGACAAGCCGGCGTGTTTCTTCCCCGATGTCCAGTTAATCATTTCCACCTGCAGCGACTCAGTTCTCATCACACCTGTTCCCCATCACTGCCCAGTCTATGGAAGCTCAGCTCAGTTATGCGCTCTGTCAGTTCCTCATGTGTTCTGTGTTTGTACTGTGCTCCCCGTGCTCCCCGTGCTCCCTGTGCTCCCCGTGCTCCCCGTGCTCCCTGTGCTCCCCGTGCTCCCTGTGCTCCCCGTGCTCCCCGTGCTCCCCGTGCTCCCCGTGCTCCCTGTGCTCCCCGTGCTCCCTGTGCTCCCCGTGCTCCCCGTGCTCCCTGTGCTCCCCGTGCTCCCTGTGCTCCCCGTGCTCCCTGTGCTCCCCGTGCTCCCTGTGCTCCCCGTGCTCCCTGTGCTCCCTGTGCTCCCCGTGCTCCCCGTGCTCCCTGTGCTCCCTGTGCTCCCCGTGCTCCCCGTGCTCCCTGTGCTCCCTGTCCTCCCCGTGCTTATTATCCATTAAAGGATGTATTTACCACTTACCTGCCTAGTTCCTGGATCTTTTGCATTTGGTCCTACACCAACAGCCACCAAACCCATAAAGAACGTTGAGCCTTCAGACTGTAAATCAGCCATGATCTTCGCCCTCTTTAAGGTCCTACTGCAACCCAACCGTGGAAAAGTTGTGGATGTTTCACACTAAAGAGGCTGGAGAGGGTGTTTTAGTTTTTTCTGAGGATCTTCTGGTTTTTCTTTTTCTTTAGATTGCAGCCATGTCTGATGCTGAAGAGACATATGAGTAAGTAGAACAAACTTAGTTTGTGGTTTGAACTCGTCGTCATTCCAGCTTTACCTGATGAATCCCAGTCAGCTGTTGATGCTTCTCTTTACTCGTCCTAACAGGGAGCAGTCAGAAGGTGAGGTGCTACTTGCAGGTTTAAGCTTCAGAAACCAAACTGTGGCTCATCACATCAGTTTTCTCTTCAGATGTTGAGGAGGAGGAGGAGGAGGAGGTGGAGGTAGAGCAAGAGGAGTCTGAACAGGAAGAAGAAAGAGGAGGTGAGTTGTTAGCTGAGTGAAAGGTGTCTTTCTTTATTTTACTAATAGAAGATGTGAACTTCATCCTTCCTGTGACGGTTTTCATTCACATCTCCTCTCCTTTTGTTTTGCTGTCTCCCTGAACATCAACATGTTTGTTCTGGACAATCAGAGCAGCAGGAGTACCAAGGTAAGGAAACATTTTCAGACCGTAAAAAATGTTCAAATGTTGATGAAACGGCTTCAGTTTTAGTCTGTTTCAACAAAAAAAAACATTCCAGCACACCAAGTAGGGAGCCCCGGCGCTCTGATGTCACCAGGGCTTCTGCAGAGTTTGTGAGAGAAAATGGAAAAAGGATGGCTTGCATGTTTCCCATGAGATGTGTAGAGCATCATTGGGGGGGGCTCTGGGTAACAAGGAGTAACTCAGAAGGTGCAGACTGTAGTACTGAACCAAGGGCGTAGGACCGAGTTTAATATTGGGGGGACACGTCCCACCTGTCTCCCCCCCACCCCCCACCCCCCAGGTTATGCGCCCTTGCACTGAACGTCTTTCTTGGGCTTTATTTGGCGGTACGTTCATGACCAATGAGGGAAAATCGTGTTTCAAAGACATACCTCAACATTTTGAGACACACATTGAGTTTAACATTGAGGCTTAAAGAAACGGGAGAATAAAAAAGCACTTTAGGACAGATGGACATGTTGATCTTCAGCTGGTTTTATTTGGACTTCTTTCTGTTCTGCTTCCAAGGAGAACTTGTCTGTATTTAGGTGGTATTTCTACAGTATCGTCTAGTCTTTAAAACTGTTGAAGGCTATATAAAAGGAACAAGCACCTAATTTAGCGCCTTCTAGGGTTCTAAACCCAAGGTGCTTTATAACACAGCCAGTCATTCACTCACCCACCCGCGTGCTCGCAAACACACACAAACACACACACACACACACACACACACTGGTGGCGAGGAGCACCAAGGTAATCTTATAGCTGCTGAGCACAGGCACCACCAGTCCCACCCGCTGAAGGACACGACTGTAGCAGACGGGGCTCGAACCCGCAACCCTCCAGTTATTGGTCGGTTACTTAAATGTTGATCGATTTCGCAATATTTGAAGCAAAAGAGCAAGAGGTGAGGAAAGTGGCTCTTGGCTGTTGGTTGTGACAGTGCTTGGTGTCAGCGGGTCTGCTGCTGTGGAAGGTCTGGTTGCCCCTCATGGGACCTCGTCTGGGAGGAAACGACGGCCGGGTTGCTCCCACAAAACTTGCTAATTCCTCAAACAGCGTTTTCTGCATTGGACTCTTGGTTTGCGGTCATGGAGACTGGATGATCGAGTGTGAAGAAGAAATAGGTCCAGATTCTGGTTGAGGCCGTTGGATGGAAGGGTCAAAGGTCAATGCTGTGCAGATCTTATTCTCCGCACTCATGGACCAAACTCAGTGGCCGTGATTACCTGGACAGGGCAGTCCCGACCTAAACCGGCTTAAACACGTGGGATCATCATACAGAGGAGGGGCGGGGCTGCTCTGGCGTTCGGACCAGGAAGCACCAAACAGGTCCTGTCCCGTATCTCCCTGGTGCTTGTGCTTCGGCACTGGTGGCCAGTGCAGCTCGGGGTTCGGTTTAAGATTCTGAGCCCTACTTCCGAAGCTTTTCCAGGTTTAGCTTCCATTTGCATCGCAGACATCCTGACTCTGTACACCCGACCCCGTCCTCTCAGATCAGCGGACCTTGGTCTCCTGGTCATCCCTCCCACCAAATAAAAGACTGTTGCTCCCTCCTTGTGGAGAGCGCTTCACGTGTCGCTGCGCTTGTCGCCCTGGTTGGAGGTCTTTATGAGAAGACTGAAACCCATTTATTGTCCTACGTCGTTGTTTAGCCTCCTTTTGGTGTATTTCTGGAGTCTTGGTGGTTTTAATGTTTTACTGTGGTTTTTCGAATGTATTTTGTTTTTTATCCTTTTATTTATTTTTTGTGAATTCTTTGCGGTGAGTATCAGTAAAGTTTGAGTTCAGAAAAAGCTGTTTGGAAGAGAAGAGCGTGTGACCCCATAATTTCCCTCCTAACCCCAACCCTAACGCCCCGTCGGGGGAAAACCTTCCCCGCTCAGAAGCAACCCAACATAAATTATACATCGCAGAAATTTGTGATAAATCTTTACAGAAACGTTGGTAATTTCAACAGAAAACTACACATCTATATTTCTAAATGCTGACTAATTTCTTTGAGCCGTTTTTGCTTCTGCCTCATTCGTTCCCTCCTTTCGTCGTTTCTAACTGTTTAGTGCATCTTTTCTCGTAACCTCCTAATAAATCATCTCTGTGTGGTTTCATGCCATCGTTGCAGCTTAGGCTGTGCTTTAGTGGGGCTGGTCCATCAGACCAAGATGCCCAGGAGGACGGTGAGAAACGACGTACCTAGGTGTTTTAATAACTGGCTTGTGTCCTTTCTCGGCTCCTTGTCTATTAAGTGTTTTATGTAGGATTTTACCTAAAACGTCCAACGGTTTTATGCACTTTTGAATTATTTACGCGGTTTTTTTTCTTCCTGCAGAGGAGGAACGCCCAAAACCCAAGTATGTTCAGCCTCCATCGTCCCTTCCACAGCATCAGGGTCATTTCTCTAAACAAAACCTGCTTCTTCCATCAGACCTCTGGTGCCCCAAATCGCTCCTCCAAAGATTCCCGAGGGAGAAAGAGTGGATTTTGATGTAAGTAGAGACCGAGGTTGAATCTACAGCTGTTGTAACTAGTGGCCCGCCTGTGTTACAGAAATCCTGTGTTTGATCAGGACATCCACAGAAAGCGTATGGAGAAGGACCTGCTGGAGCTGCACACGCTGATAGACGTGCACTTTGAGCAAAGGAAGAGAGACGAGGAGGAACTAATCGGCCTCAAGGATCGAATTGTCAGTCGGCCTTATTGTTGCTTCCTATAAAGTCCCAAAAAGCTTTAGAATTAAAAAATGAGTCATCTTTGGGTTTTTGGTTCAACGCTTTCAGGAACGACGTCGAGCAGAGCGAGCGGAGATCCAGAGGGTTCGAGCAGAGAAGGAGAAGGACCGCCAGAACCGGATAGCGGTAACTGACCACTGCCTCTGTTGAACCTTAAACCGTTCACTATAAACCGGATCCACGCGCCTAGGGAGGTCTCTGGAAAACGTCAAACGTTTGGGTGAAACTGTGGTTTAAACATCACCCCGCAGCAGCTGGCCACGGCTGCAGGTTCTGGATACGAGCGGGAAGCAAGCGACTCAGGTGGTCCAAAGAACAGGCAGGGGAACCACTGAAGACTAGATCCTTTATTGGGAGGAGCAAGGACAATGCGAAAAGTCCCAGTCTTCAAAGGCGGAAGGGGTAAAAACATAAAACAGTCTAAAACATCCTGCATCGCCGGGGGCGGGACGACCCACGTAGCCGGGACCCGGTCCGCTCCACCTTGTCCTTTGGCTGTCAGGCACAAAGTCGATCTCCTGCAGCGACCCGTCTGTGCTGCTACCGTGGCTCCAGCGTCGTCCCTCGCCCGCTGGCTGCTGCGCGCACCGCCACTCTCTCCGCAGCCCCCTGGCACAGCTCCGCTCCTCGGACACGTCACGCCCTCGTCGGCCCAAGGCCTAACAAGACACAGAGGCACCAGCACCAACACTGCGCCACTCACATGGGCTAGGAGAGGGCAACCCACAATCCTACACACTTGGCCGCATGTCCACATCCCGGGACATGGGATGTGGCCGGGCCAGGTGGCCGGGCGCTCGTGTCCTTGCCAGAGACGTCCCCGTCCAGGGTGCCTCTCTTGCTCTCAGTCAGGCCTCATGCGTGTCTCTCTGGTGTCTGCTGCCCTCCTGGACTCGTTCCTCAGTTCCTTTTATACCTCGTTCTGTGAGTCCATTGCACCTGTGGGCGTTCCACACCTGTTCCCATTAGTTCATGAGTGTCTCTGGGAGGTACCGCGAAGGGAAAAAAACATTCAAAACGACAATAATAACACACAAGTCATGCAACTTCAACTAAATCCAAAACTTTTCCACTTTGTGACATAAACACATTTAATAATGACACGAATGTCTCGGCCCCTCTGCTCCTCAAGTCAGGCGGGAAGATAAAAGTGTGTTTGGCGAAGGCTGCATCCGCCTTTTCCCCGTGGTTCCAGGCGACTTTCGTTTTCCTGGGTCCGTGTCTCACGGCTCCTAACCCTAACCCTAACCTGTGCTAATCAGTTTGCCGGGTGAGCCAGATCAAAGGAAAGGCTAGGACGTCTTAAGTTATAAAGCAAAACCCACGTTTTCCCGTAATACGAAGGGGAAACGTCTCTGCTGCTGCTGAGCAACATGAAGCAGCCAACTGCCCTGGACCAGGCGTGAGCAGCGTGGACGTTTCCCAAAAGCTTGAGCCAGAACATCGTACTGATTTAGAGCCAGCACGCCTTCAGGAAGGTTTCTCGTTGCTTTACTGAACTCGTTCAGGAAGAATCTCCACAAAATCATCAAATACTCCCGTTCTGAGAGCTCTTTTACAGCTGAGGAGAGAACCCGTGTGTCGATTACTGATGAGGAGGAAGTAGGCGATGAACAGGGACTCTTGCCACGCGTTCATTTTTGATGAGAAGGGAGTGAGAACGTGCTGATTCATCTGGTCCTGCAGGAGGAGCGTCATCGTAAAGAAGAAGAAGAAGCCAAGAAGAAGGCCGACGATGATGCCAAAAAGAAGAAAGTGTTGTCTGGCATGGGAGCTAACTTTGGAGGCTTCCTAGCTAAGGTCAGACGACTTCTGTGGTAAGCTGCATGATGATGACTGGGTGATGCGTGGGTCACGGTGTGCTACCGTTCCAGGCTGAGACTCGGAAGAGCAAACGCCTCACAGGAAGAGAGATCAAGAGGAAAACTCTGGCGGACAGACGGCAGCCTCTCGGTACCGACAGCATGAGGGAGGATGGTCTCAGGTGAGTCTTCCCACTGCGTTTCAGGCCTTCACAGGTGACGTGAGAATCTCTTTACTGATGAAGAACTGAACTGTTTCGTTACCCGGCTGCTTTAAGTCCAGTTGATGATTCCCGATCGGATCTTCATTCCCGCCGCTGATCTGCTCCATTCTGGATTCTGTCTTTGTGTCTTTCAGGAAACGGGCTCAAGAGATGTGGAACTGGATCTACCAGCTGGAATCGGACAAATTTGACTTCATGGAACAAATGAAACACCAGAGATATGAGGTCAGTGCACCAGTCCCAATGGCACACTTCTAATCTGACCTTTGACCTCACTGGGTTTAGTCAGAGCTGCGTTTACCCGTTAGAAAAGGTCATCTAAAAACCACTTAGTTTAAAATGTGCTTGAACATCAGAACAGTCTCTGCATGTGTGACCGAGTGTTAGAAGTAACCGACAGAGACGGCGGTAGCCTCAGCTGGACGGGGAGGCGGGCTGTTACCGAACACCTCAGGAGAGAGGTGGACTGTCCCAGACCTTCTGCAGGACTTCAGGCAGACGGTGTCCACTCATCTTCAGGACCAGAACCAGACGCTCCAGCAGTCCTACTGGGTGAAGATGGTTTTTATCAGCATGTTGAGAGCAGCGCCAGCGATAAGACAAGACTCTGGAAACGTGGTAGGGGGGCATTAAAACACATTAACACCAGAGCCACAGCTCCTCTGGGACCATGAATCTGTCCACATGCAAGTCACCTGTCCAGGTGTGGTCTGCTGATGAAATCACGGAGCTGAGAGGGTGCTTCCTGAGCAACCAACAGGAAACGTTCTTTCAGGATGCAGATGTTTTGTTTTGACTTGATTGTTCCTGAAAGGAATGTTAAGAAATACCAAACAAGAAGCGCTGCGTCACACGGGAAATACGGGAACGTGTCCACGGGAACAGGTTGGGGGAGACTGCGTGAGTCGAGGCTGCGCAGAAGCAGCTCGACCACCGGATGAGAGCGGCTCAGGGAACGGGGGAAACGGGACTGGTCCTCATCAGATACCAGGAGGCTGTGGGATTCAGTCCACAGCTAACGTGACTGACATGGACCTGGTTCTGCCACTGACGACTTCATCAGAGCTAATGAGCTAGATGACTTCTCTCTTTGCTCTGAAAAGGACAATCAGAGGGGGTACATTGTAATTTACACGCAGACGGCATTTTAACCGACCCGGGCTGTCACCAAGGCTTCAAATCACTGAACATCAGTAAAGCTCACATTTTAAATGCGTGGTTCACTCGTTTAAGCAATACATTTGCAGTGGTCTCTGGTAGGAATGGACGCCTTGCAAGACGTGCTCGGGGCAAAAAAAGCCCAGAAACGCTTGGATCAGCACCGATAAGCCTACCGCAGCAGAGAGGGGCAGAACACAACAGGAAGTGGAGTCTCATTTCCTGAAATCTGGACATCTCTCCTCTGATTGGCTAACGGCAACACAACTCTGCCACTGACTCTGCTTGCTCTGCAACGTTGATGTTTTATCTCCACAAATAACACAAGCCTGGAGGAGTTCTGCTGTGTGGTGAAGCTAGCTTCTGCTAGCCGAGACGTTCTCTGCTGTTTCCTGGACTCTAAACCATCAACAGCCTTCCCCGTTGTGAGTCCAGATGGGTGAGTCCATGAATGTTAGTGACAGTGTGATGTAGATCTGTCAGGATTTTCTATCCTAGAGTTTCACCGTCTGTTTTCTACCAGAAGCTACTGCAGGAGATAGGTGTAGGAGACTATTTTATGTTCAGCCTGCGTTAAACACTCAGAGTGACCCGTTAGAGTCAGAAATCATTAAAAGTGTATTTTTGGAGTTCCACACTTTTAAAGCCTTTTTCGTGAGGACCTCACGCCAGCTTGGCAGGAAAATCATCGTCTGAAGTTACGGACAACAAAAGACGTTTGGACCTAGAAAAGGGAGACTGGTGTTTAGCGCTGTCTCGTTTCCTCTGGTAACGTGGGATTCTGGTTCCAGCGGAAATGGATACCCAAGGGGAGGGGTGAGTGCTGTGTGACCGTATTTACATTCAAATCCTAACTTGTTCCGCAGTTTCACCATAACGGCTTTAATCACCTGATCATGACCTCAGCTAGCAGACGTATGTGTGGCGAGCGGGGCCACCTATCAATTTAAAAATACAACGCCACCTGATAATCAGGAACCAAAACCAGCTGACCCTAAAGGCACGTTAGTTCGGTTTTACAGATCAAGTAATGTCACCCCAATCACACGTGCATGCATTCGGGAAGTGAAGGGACGCTGGAGCACACGCACACCATCAGATGGGACCACCACCAGGGCTCGACCAGCACTGTCGGCTCACAGCCTAAATGGAAAGAAAACAAAACACACACACACACACACACACACGCTAAAACACACACACACTAAAACACACACACACTAAAACACAGCAACAACTGGGCGGACAGGCCGTCAGGAAATGAGCGAGCATGCAGCTCGCCTGCACACGCGTCTATTAGCCTGAGCCTCAGCCGTCCTCGTGAGCTCCCGGGCCGACGACAGCTGCCAGTAGGGCCTGCAGCCCCTCGATGAAATACCCAAACCCACACCGGGTGTAGGTCCTCCGCTGGTACTCAGTCTAGAGGAGCGAGTGAGAAAAGCCGCTCCCGATGGTCTCCACTGATCCCGTTTAACCAGCCCGAGCAGCGGGGTGGAGAGGCCTTGGAGCCGGATGATGGTCCAGCACCGGGTCAACAACAGGGAAACGGAGATCCCAGGGAACAGTGCGGAGAAGCAGCAGAACAACAGAGTCTCCCGTGGAGACACACCCCCTCCTCGATCTGGAAGACACATTAACTAGCATTACCCTACAGCCACAACTAAGTGGAGAGGAGCGCAGATGTACATACCACTTCTATGAAGCACATAGGATAAAGAGAAGCCTTCCGTTCCTCTGGGAGGACCTCATGCAACAACTCCTGCAGCAGCAACAACCAATGAATACCAGACTCCATGCAGCTACTGCAGCGTTTTAGATAGTACTCACAGTCCGACACGCCGGAGTCCCGTACACAATTGCACTTCACCCAGGAAGCGGAAGTTGAGCCAAAGCAAAGATCGCGGTAGCGCCACCCCAGGCCCTATTTACATTAGCACCTTCCCTCAATGATAGGTCGTCCAGTTACTTGGTGGCAGATGACTCATCCCACTACATATGGCAGCAGTGTTGGCGCTCGGATCTGTCCACACACTAGCTGTCTGTCGAAAGATGATGATGATTTTCTACAGAGACGGTGTTGCATGTTGGTTTGGCAACCTCAGCGGGAAGTCAAAGGCTCCGATTTTAACTTTGATGAAGACAACGGGTTCATTGCGTTCGGGGATTGCCACCAAGACAGGCGCCGACAGCCCTGCGGCCACAGCTCCGGTCAGCCACCTCAACAGTAGAAGCACAGAGCATGGCCCACGTCCCCGCTTCCCTCGGGATCTGTTTGAAATTCTGTCGGATGGAATTGAAGCTCCTGACAGGAGACTCTGCCGGACATTCCCAGCAGACAATACGTTTAGGCCTACCAGGTGTGACCAACTTCCTCCCCCACCATCGAAGCCAGCGCACCACCAGGCAGTGGTCAGAGGACAACTTCACCACTCTCTCCATTTCTCCCGTCATCAGTTAAAACGATGAACGCACCAACAGCACAGGATGAACGTGTCCAGTAGAGCACGCTGTTGCCTCGGAGTGCTTCCAGAGGTTGGGGAGTGGGTGTGGAGGCTGCTGCGTAGTTTTAACTCGTTGTTTTTAATTCTTTTATTGATGCGCGTAATTAATGTTCTTGTATTGAGCATCTCTGCTGGATGTTGGTGGCTTGGCTCTGCCACAGCAGGAACTCAGTGTTGAGCATCCTCTGGACCTACATCAGTGTGGCACGTTACCATCAAGGATTTATAGCTTCAGGATCTCGTCGCCTCGTCCCTCAGATGTTCTGTACATCCTTGTTGTGTGCTTTCTGTCTTCATTTACCGTTGTCTTTTCTTGTTTTTATACACAGCGCAGCAGAGATTTACCTGAATCTGCTGAGTTTCAGCCTCACACAGTCACCATCTAATCAAATCAAATCAAAATGTACTTATGAAGCACTTTTCATACAAATGCAGCTCAAAGCGCTTTACAATATTAAAACAACCAGACAGCGGTCGGTTTCCCCCCCCCCCCCCCCCCCCTCACAGATTCATATAAGAGATCCCCTTTGTATCTCCCTCCTCCCACCCTCAATCCCATCCCAAGCAGATGCAAACTCACGCACGCACACGCACACGCATGCACGTAGCCTAGTGAACTAGACACTATACTTGCTTTGCATATATAGTCTGGCTTGCCAGGCTAACACGCACGCACACACGCACTTACACACGCACGCACACACACAAACACACGCACACACACACACACACACACACACACGCACACACGCACACACACACACACACACACACACACACACTCGCACACACACACACACACACACACACACACACGCACACACACACGCACACACACGCACACACACACATAAAAGAGAAAGGGCTGCTGGCTGAGTGCAGGTGTAGTAGGCACAAAGAAGACGGAAACGCCATCAAAGGAGCCAACGGCACCGGGAGCAGCAGGATCGGCAGCTGTAGCCCGGGCAAGAGGAGGCACGAGAAGCACCCCGGGGGCAGCTACCGCCCCCCCCCCCCCCCCCCCCCCCCAAAGCTAACCGGCCCCCCCAGAGGAAGCACTAGTTTAGTAATGAGACTAAGATAACAAGTTAAGAAACAAATTAAACATAAACTGCTGATAAATAAAAATCTAAATAAAACACACTGATCAAAGATGACCAAGTACAAACATATCATTACATTTATAAAAAATATTGTACAACAGATTATAAATACTGGTTAAAACTGATAATTATTACAAGTTAAAATTAATATATAAGAAAATATGTGTCATTTAAGTAAAAGAGTAAGTAATAAAACACTGATAAAATATATAAAAGATGGTAAAACAGGCTAAAATAGATCATAATCACTTAAAAGCTGTACTAAAAAGGTGAGTCTTGAGCCTGGCCTTAAAAACAAGAACACCCTCTACGGCCCTGAGGTCCTCTGGCAGACTGTTCCAGAGGCGAGGGCCATAAACCTGGAAGGATGCCTCGCCTTGGGAGTGTGTCCTGACTTTTGGAATGACGAGGAGATGGCTGCTGGAGGAGCGCAGGGACCGCGAAGGCTCGTGTTTATGAAGCAGTTCTGAGAGATGAGAAGGCCCAAGACCATTAAGACGTTTAAAAACCATTAAAAGAACCTTAAAATCGATCCTGAAACATGAAGGAAGCCAACGCAGCTCGTTAAAGACCGGTGTAACATGCTCCTGCCTCCTGGTGTTCGTCAGGACGCGAGCTGCTGAATTTTGTAGGAGTTGTAAGCCTGAGGAACTCTTTTTGGGAAGCCCAGAAAGCGGGGCATTACAGTAGTCCATCCTACTGGTGATAAAAGCGTGCATCTGTATCGGCCAGAGAGAGAAAGGGGCGGACTCTGGCGATGGTTTTCAGGTGATAAAAACCAATTTTTGTAATGTTCTTAATGTGGGGGTTAAAAGTTAGCTCAGAGTCAAAAATCACACCCAGGCTCTTCACTTGAGAAGACGGATTAAGAGTTAGTGACGGTAGCTTTGGTCAAGACTATCGATCGGCTCCAAAGAGGTTCTGGCAAACTGTCCGGCGCCTCAGGAGAGGAAGGCAGCAACTCGCTCACACTGTTTACAGTGGGGATGGGGAGCTGCTGACGTCAACTGAGGCTATAGTCGGACGGTGGAAGGAATACTTTGAGGAGCTCCTCAATCCCACCAATGCGCATTCCGAGGAGGAACCAGAGCTGGGAGGCCTGGGGATGGACTGTCCGATCTCGAGGGCAGAAGTTGCTGAGGTAGTCAAACAACTACACAGCGGCGGAGCCCCGGGGGCGGATGAGGTTCGTCCTGGGTATCTCAAGGCTATGGATGTTGTAGGGCTGTTGTGGTTGACACGTCTCTACAACATTGCGTGGTCATCGGGGGCAGTTCCTAGGGAGTGGCAGACCGGGGTGGTGGTCCCCATCTTTAAGAAGGGTGACCTGAGGGTGTGTTCCAACTATAGGGGGATCACACTCCTCAGCCTCCCTGGAAAGGTCTACTCCAAGGTACTGGAGAGGACGGTCCGATCGATAGTTGAATCTCAGATAGAGGAGGAGCAATGTGGTTTTCGTCCTGGCCGTGGAACTGTGGACCAGCTCTATACCCTTGCAAGGGTGATGGAGGGGGCATGGGAGTTTGCCCAACCAATCCACATGTGCTTTGTGGATTTGGAGAAGGCTTATGACCGTGTCCCCAGGGGCACCCTGTGGGGGACGCTCCAGGAGTATGGGGTGGGTGGCTTTCTGTTAAGGGCCATTCAGTCCCTTTACCAGAGGAGCGTGAGTTTGGTCCGCATAGCCGGTAGTAAGTCGGACCTGTTCCCAGTGAGGGTTGGACTCCGCCAGGGCTGCCCTTTGTCACCGGTTCTGTTCATCACATTTATGGACAGAATTTCTAGACGCAGCCGTGGTGTGGAGTGTGTCGAGTTTGGTGGCAGGAGAATCTCGTCTCTGCTTTTTGCGGATGATGTGGTCCTCCTAGCTTCATCCAGCTCTGACCTTCAGCTCTTGCTGGGTAGGTTCGCGGCCGAATGTGAAGCGGCTGGGATGAGGATCAGCACCTCCAAATCTGAGACCATGGTTCTCGACCGGAAAAGGGTGGCTTGCCACCTCCGGGTCGGGGGAGAGGTCCTACCTCAAGTGGAGGAGTTTAAGTATCTCGGGGTCTTGTTCACGAGTGAGGGTAGGAGGGATCGGGAGATCGACAGGCGGATTGGTTCGGCGTCTGCAGTGATGCGGACGCTGAGCCGATCTGTCGTGGGGAAGAGGGAGCTGAGCCAGAAAGCCAGGCTCTCGATTTACCGGTCGATCTACGTCCCAATCCTCACCTATGGTCATGAGCTTTGGGTAATGACCGAAAGAACGAGATCGCGGATACAAGCGGCCGAAATGAGTTTCCTCCGTAGGGTGGCCGGGCTCAGCCTTAGAGATAGGGTGAGGAGCTCGGACATTCGGGAAGGACTCGGAGTAGAACCGCTGCTCCTCCGGATCGAAAGGAGCCAGTTGAGGTGGTTTGGGCATCTGGTCAGGATGCCTCCTGGACGCCTCCCTGGGGAGGTGTTTCGGGCATGTCCTGCCGGCAGAAGGCCCCCGGGTCGACCCAGGACACGTTGGAGAAGTTACATCTCCAATCTGGTCCGGGAACGCCTTGGGGTCCTGCCGGAGGAGCTGGTGGACAAGGCCGGGGAGAGGACGGCCTGGAGCTCCCTAGTTGGGATGCTGCCCCCGCGACCCGGACCCGGATAAGCGGAGGAAGACGAGACGAGACGAGCTTTGGTCAAAGTTTCTCTCTCTGGGTCTCAGGACCGATGACTAAAACTTCGGTTTTGTCCCGTTTAAGCTGGAGAAAGTTTTCTGCCATCCAGGATTCAATGTCCAAAATGCAATTAAAAAGGGCATCCAGTGGCCGTGCGTCATCGGGAGACAGATCTTCAGAGCCTTACCGGTGTGGACGGCGGGCTGCTGTTGTTCCGTGGGCAGCAGGGGACGATGTCGCCCTCTACTGCCCGCGCACAACAAAACAAAAATACAGAGGGTGGATGAAGAAGTGATCGAGATAAGGAGACGTGGACCCTGGACCATGGGATGAAGGAGTTTACACGCCGGATCATTCATGGGACGTGGTGATTGGCCGGGAAAGCGCGGGCAGTAGAGGGCGACATCGTCTCCTGCTGCCCGCGAATAAACAGCAGAACTAACGCCTGCGAGGCTTTTGAAGATGTCGACGCCAAAACTGTCAGTAGGACGCTACGCTGTGTATTAAACAATGTAAATTGTTCAGTACATGTTTTCATTCTCATGTGAAGATGTTGTCATCAATGATCAGATCTTTGAAACACCTCTGAAGAAGAAACTATTTGTTTTTAAGTGATTTATGGAGAAAGCTTCATCACTAATTATTCCTACGAGACTTCAGCTGCTGTTTCGTGACAGTGATGAAATAGTCTGGTGCTAAAAGTTAAATTCAGTATTTCCTGAATTTAGCTGCAGCTATCTTCTGTTTAACCGCTGCGTAATAATTGCCAAACAGTTGAGAGCCTTTGAACTACTGAATAACCTGACCTGAAGTAAGCGTATAGAATAAAAACAAGATGGGTCCCAGCACAAAACCTTGAGGAACTCCATTAAACAAACTTTGATCTGGTTTCTAAGCACACAAATGTTCTTACAAGTGTGTCTGAAGAAAATCATCTTAGAGCAGATCAGACCTTCCATACAGATCTGTCTGCTCGTTGGATGATGTCAGCGGCGAAGCTGACATCACCACTGAACCGTTTCAGTGGAAAGATCGTACAGAAGCTTTATGATCGTCTCTCTCTACTTCCTGTAGATCACCGTGTTGCTGAACAGAATCCAACATGCTCAGAAATTGTGAGTTCTGACACATTTCTGTCCTTCTCGTCTCTTCTTTACTGACTTCTTTTTGTCTCATCTCTGTTTCAGTAAAAAAGGCCACGGCAAAGGGAAGGTGGGCGGTCGCTGGAAGTAACGCAGAAACCACGAAACCAACTTGACGGAGAAACCATTTTTCACGATTCTCTATGTCTTTGAGTTTTGTGGATGAAACCTGCCGTCACCTGTCGGTAATAAAATACATGCATGAAGTCTCACCTTGTGCTTTGTGAGTTTAATTTGTTCAAAATGTTTGTTTCAAAAACTAAAACATAACTGTTTTATTAAATGTCAGCAGCAGGTGTGCAGTGGAGGTTTCGCTGAAGGAGCATCAACACAACTAAGCGTTGAAGCACAAACATTCACACTAACCCATCCAGTGATTTATTTTCTTGTTTGTTTTCAAACAGACAACATATTGACCAATGAGGGGGCTCTCAGGTGTAGCAAGTACCTGAGGCATTTGACTTTGTAGCATCGGGATGGTCACATCTACAATTTATATTATTTTATTATTTAACCAGGAAGTTCCCATTGAGATTAAAAACCTACTTTTCAGCAGAAGTTACAGTTACTAATGTTTCAGCTACACAGACAAGGTAGGTACTATATTACAGAGGCAGTTACAAAACAGTAAATACATCTCTAAGTCTCTCAGTCTGGTTTTAAGTCAAAGTCAAAGTCCCATTAGTTGTCACACACACAGGTGTGTGTGCAACATTTGTTCTCCGCATTTGACCCATCCCCTGGGGGAGCGGTGAGCTGCAGACACAGCCGCGCTCGGGAACCATTTGGTGGTTTAACCCCCCAATCCAACCCCTTAGTGCTGAGCGTCAAGCAGGGAGGCATTGGGTCCCATTTTTTTTTCATAGTCTTTGGTATGACCCGACCAGGAATCGAACCCTGATCTCCCAGTCTCAGGGCGGACACACTACCACTAGGCCACTGAGAAAGGTAGTCAAGGTAGGTAGTTAAATGTAGTCAAGGAGATAAACTCGGTTAATTTCCAGTTTTTCTGGCTTTATAAATGAAGCTGTACTAATGTCCCAACCCCCTGGTGGACAAAGGCCATCCCACTGGAGAATACAATTCACCATGACGGCTCAGCGGTCTACAGGTAGTAATAAACCTCAGCGAGGCATGATGCCCTGATCGGTTGTACCAAGACACTGAGGCTTTCATATACAAAAGGTCTCCAATTCAATTCAGTTCAAGTTTATTTATATAGCGACAAATCACGACAAGAGTCG